GTGTGTGTGTGTGTGTATGTTTCTGTATATATTCCTTCGTCATGTGGCATGACGAAGGAATGATCAGCCCGTTTTCGCTCGAAAGGTTGGAGGATGTCGCGTGATCTGCTCCAACTTGAACGTCGCATTAAGGCCAAACGGCAGCAGTACAACGCGAATCAACTGACGTCTTCTGGAGAGATTGACCTACAAATATCTTCATCATACACTTCCATACAAATTGAAAGTATTCACATCTAACTTATCTCAGGAGATTATTTTAAACTAGAATTTTATTCCTATATTAAATGTCTTTACACTAAATCACGCAGGAATTCTCCAAAAGCCATCTTTCCTGATATATTAAGTGTGTTTTACTTTGCTTCTTTTGACGTCGGATATACATCGTCATTCTGCTCCATGTCGGTCAAACCGACGTCGCTAAGGCGTTGGTGCGTGTCGCCTACGAACCGCGTGTGCGAAGGCGACTCGCGAACCGGCATATCCGATGTTGCGATGACGTATCCTCACAAGAACACAAACACAATTGTAAGAAATGTAATCCGCTTCGTTATTCGGTGAGTTCAGTTTGTAAATTCCTTTCTACCAACATTTTCTTCGAAATGAAATCTCGCCTCATAATGGCCAACGCATCTGGTTGGTGGATCTGCGTCAATGGTACTGGCCTCCTCAGCTAGGTCCTCCAAGGATTAATTCTATAGACCCCGACATGATGAGAAATTAAGGCATTTAGGCATTCACATCAGCTCAAAGAGTCGTCGAAATAATAAGGAGGTAGTTAAAAGTAGTACTATATTTTCTAGCAAAAATAAAGTCATTAATTTATCCAGTGTACCTTTAGATGCTAATGGTACGCTTGTCTTGGAAAGGAATCTAAATTTTGCATTTACAAATGAGCAAAATCATTCTACGGAGATACTGGTTGAGTTAATTGACTTAACGGACAAGCTGCCAGAAGAGGCTAAGAATAGTTTAGAAAGAGAAGTGATTACTCATTTTGATGAGATACTTATCCCAAAGAAATCTTATTACTCGAATAATGTTTCAAGATATTTGCACCAAAATGACCTGTTCAGAGTAATGCTATGGCATCTTCGGCTTACTGCTGTCCAGAAATACGCGAAGAAGGAACTGCTTTAAGATTGATTGTTAACAACAA